ACAGTATTTTCTTTTTATTGAAGGCATGCTCCTAGGTTTGGATACCACTTGTGATAAGCTGGGAATAAGCCTAATGTTCTTAATCAGTCACTAAAGCACAGAAGTCCATTAGATGGAGTATCTGATGCATACATTCAAAGGTTTATCATATCATATATATGCAAGTTTGGTTAACATACAACTTGTGGTCAATTTGGCACAAATCTATTGCCCAGCACAACTTTGACACTATAGGTTGTAGGGACGAACAGTCAACAACACTCCCCTCCCCATCCCAAACAACTCAATCCTTTGTTGCAGATGGCCATGATAATATCCAGTTTTCACAACTCACTTAATTTACAGCAGAAAGGTTATTTAAGCATGTTAAACACTTAGCTAGTAGCAATGTTCCTCTAATTTCAGTAATACCCAGGTCACATTTTACAAACAAGGTCATTATAACGACTTTAGAATTTTAACAAATTTTTAGTCATAACACCAAATTCTATATTTTTAATAAATTAAGCCGATGGTCGGGTGAACAAATTTTTTTTGTATCGTCGGCTGAAAAACGTGTTCGGCAGACGCCAGTATCGGGTGATGCAGAGCAGTCACATTAATTCCTACAAACATCGATGACTTCAAAAGTTTAAATATTTATATGTCGGTCAATTGTCCCTCGATCATCAAGCACTGAGCCACATGATTTTCATTACAAAAACCCAATACCTAAATGTGTTGACAGATCAACGATCGACCTACCAAACTGTCTGTGGATGGTCGGGCAATTTTCGAGGGTTGGTCAACGGACTATTCTATAACTGCTTCAATTAAAGAAATCGGCCACCAACGCAAAAAAAATTATAACTGGGCCAAACGGACACAAAATTGGTTGGCGGACAAAAAAAAGAAGCCAAAACCTGGCAAGACAACAGCCGATGAACTGCTGACTGTCGCCCGAAGAATCCAATTTTTGCCTCAAAATACGTCAGCCGTTGGTCATTTTCAGAAATGTGACTGCAGTTTAAGACTCTAACACATTATTTCATACAAGTACTTATCATAAAGGTTGAAAACTTATTCATACTCTGCCTTTGTGTTGAAAAATGACTACTTCACATAAAAACTTGTTTAAGTATAGTGGTTTGGACTACATGGACCCTGGATATCAGCCTGGGTAGCTCAGTGGTTAAAGCACCTGACTAATAATGCAGGTATTCCAGGTTCAACTCCCTGTCCAGCATGTTACCGAAGTATTTTCAACATCTCTATCACAAATAATATGTTGACGGTGCAACCATTTAGGCTAGCGTAGACACCTATTTAGTTTTAATTTAGATCTGTTTCTTTTATCTACATGTGACATTTGGTCCATCTAGACTCCGACTTCACTGAACGTCATGTGTTAGTTGCATTACCAAACCGAAGCCTGAACAATGCCAAGTTTAAATAAAGAACATTTAATCTGCTATTTATCTGCAATATTCTTTTAATCAAGGTGAGTTTATTTCTTGTTGAACTTTTGTTGTTACCACCAGAACGTAGTTTGCGGCGATATGCAATAAGCGTTGCATTGAGGGTCCAGAGGTTACTGCAGAAAAAAAATTGTTTGGATGAATGTGCACAGTCTGAATTTTCTCTTCGCCCAGGCATTGTCATTAGAGCTTGCAGTGCGAGCGGCACTTCGAGCCACTCGCTATAAGTTTGTACGCAATTTTATGTTTTAGATTGGTCACCTATGTGGCGTAGTGGTTAGAGCATCTGCTCTAGATTTGCAAAGTAAGGAGTTGATCCTTATGTTGTGGGTTCGAATTCCACTGCCTGACATGGAGACCGGTCCTTCAGATGAGACCGTATAAACCGAGGTCCCATGTCGCAGTAGGTTTTGGCACAAAAAAGATCCTTCATTGCTCAATTGCCCTGAGTGCCAAATATAAGTCACCTGCAAGTGGTGGCATCTCCATATGAGTTAAAAACTCTTGAGAGGGACGTTAAACAACAAAAACAAGCAAAAACAAACATGTTTTAGATTGTGCCAGAAACAATCAAATGCTCTATCTTTTTACCCCATTTCAATATGTGTCTTCCTCTATATAGCCATCTACTTTTCTGCATCTTCCCAACTCAAGGATTTTTGATCCCCTCCGCTCCACATGAACTCTTGACCGAATGGACTAAGTTTGATAGGGTTAGAAATGCACTCTCTGATTGGCCTCATACAAGTTTGCATGAGCCAATCAAAATCCTTGTTTTATTTAAGCTGCAGAAACTAAATTGTAAACAGAAAAAACACGCTGGTTTTAGTCCCAACAAAATCATCTTGACCATTTAATAACCCAGTTAAAGGCTTGTCTCAGCTTTTTAGTTAAAGTTATGTTGAATTTATTACCAACTTTCAATATTGTCTCGCATTCTCTGTTAAATTGCTCATTCTGACTGGTCAATAGCAGAGGTCAGTAGAGTTCAAAATAATCACTAGATAGCATGCTAGTAAACCCTGTCAAACTTGGTCTATTCTGTCAAGGTTTTATGTGGTGCGGAGTGGATCAGAAACCCTTGACTTGGGAAGATGACTTTTCTGAAGCATGTATGGAACTATGAGATCAAATATAATTCTACATGTGATGTATAGATATATTTTGTCTACTCTCTTTTTAATCTTGATCCTTAAACTTCTGATCCAAACCTCTGGTTATCTATCATCTTTGAAGCTTGAAATTGATTCTATTCATAGGGTGTGCCCAGAATTGGATACTTAGAGGCTGGTCAGTGTGTATAACTTAAACCTTTGTTACAATAGGGCAAAAAGAAGTTTACCAGTTCAAAGTGGCAATGCTTATGTTGAAAATTTATTGCTCCAAAACACACCACTTATCAAAGCTGCTAAAAAAAACATTTTTATCATGCTTGGTGTTATTTTGACCAAATGTAAGGGGTATCAGCAAATGAAAAACCATGAAAAATAGCCCAAACAGACAAATAAACCAATGAAACCACAACAGATGGAAATTGATTGGAGGGAGGGGGGGATAACTTACGGACAGATGATACAAACAAAAAAATGGATGCCTGGATTAATTTTATATTTTTGGACTTATTTTGGTTGTAAATGATGCAGATATCAAAGTTCTAAAATACTAAGAAATTGAAATCTTTCTTTGGTATTCAAAATTGCTGTCATTTTAATTAATCTATACAACTTTTTATCACTTTATATAGGACATTACTGCGAAACTTGGATGAAAAATTTACACCTATATGGCTAAACTTCTTCATTTTACTATAAATGTGGTTAAGTTGTTATTTTCATGATTTTTGAAGAAAGTTTATATCATTTGTCCTTTATCCACAGCTATGACAGAAAATTATATATAAATCATATATTTTACAAAGTTTTCAGCATATCTGCATCTTCAACTAAAAATTCTTAAAACAGCAAAGAGTTATACATTTTAGATAAAAAAAAATGTAATAAATCAATGTGAAACTAATTGTCCTTTGATTTGTAATTAAAAAAACATATATCAGTGTGTCTTTACTACATCTAATACATACGCCAACTCGATCATTATCAGGGGTATAGGTGGCACATTCCTTACAGTTGCTGACCACAAAGTCTTGGCAATCCACATGGGCATAATATTCACACACTAGGAAGATAAAATTTGTAAAAATTATTTAGCGCATTAAACTTGCTTCATGAAGTTAATGTTCATTAGTATGCAATCTGTAAATTCACAAGGCAAACAAAATTACATAAAAGAGGTAAGTTTTGAAGCTAGACTTACATTCACATCTGATTGCAGGGCTGTCCTCCAGCCTCTTGCGACACACATCACAGAATTTACGTTTGAAGATGGAGGGTGTTGAGAAGCAGTGTGCCACAGGATTCTTGATCAGGGTTGTGGCAATACTGGAGCATGCAGATACCACTAATTTCAGACATCGCTCATGGACCACAAAGTTGCAAACTAAAATAATGTGAAAGTGTACATTGCAACACCAGGAAAATCAGACTTATGATCCTTGCCTTGGTTAAGTTTACTTAATAAATATTCAATTCAATTACACTAGGAGTGAAACGGTTCATCGCGGTATCGATGCACCGCAGTATTTTTTCTCGGTTTGATACACGGTGCAAAATCTCTAATTTTCGGTTCGGTTCATTTTTCGGTCGGGATTGTTATTCAGTCGGATTTGGCATAAGGTATAACACGTTACTCAGTATAAATAAGTATAGAAAACGTAAATTTTTGATGACTGATAGCTTGTTAGATAATTTTTGACAGTCAAATAATTTTAATCAATTTCTTCTAGTCAATTTGCAAATAAAATTCGTAAAATAGGTGACTAGATTTAGAAAAAGAAAGCATAAAACAACGTTGAATTTGTTTCCTTCTATCAAAATGTATCGTATCGAAAATAACCGAACCGAGACAAAATTATGCAATACGTATCGAACCGTGAAGGAGGTGTACCATTTCACCCCTAAATTACACCATGAACATAGGAAAAATAATGTTTTGAAGAAATTCCTACAATATCCTACTTTTAATAAACTTGCAACAGAGTTCAACTAAATCAAAACCCAATACACAGAACTATGTATCTAAGGTGGGCAGGGGAGGGTACTTAAGTTCCTGTCAAATTTCTTAAAAAACGGAGATATCCCCCGTTTGATGTGATATTCTATGTAGAAAAAAATGAAATGATTATAGGATACAGTGCAGTGTAGCAGAGTGCTTGCTGAGAAAAATGATGTGCAACATGTAAGTGTACCAGTGCTCCAAGTTGTGACTAAAATGGTCACATTTGTGACCAAAAAAATGATTTTGTGACTACAAATTAAAACCAACTTGCATTTTTGCGACTAAGAAAATTTGGGCCAGCATTTTGTCCATTTTTATAATTGGCATCGAGATTATTTTTTTTCCAAGATTCTCTATCAAGAAAATGTTTGAAGACCTTCCTAAAACTTTCTAAAGTGTTGCAAAGACCGAGATTACGTAATGTTATGACAGTATGCTGTATAGAACAGCTGTCAAATGTTTTAGACTTTTTAAAACCTGACCTTGTTAATGGAGATTTGGTCAATATTGCTTGCATATCATTAAATTTTATATTGCCAATGGCAATATTAACAGCAATTGTCTAATGGGTTAGGTACCCCATGATAAATTAAACATGTCAAACAGCATACAAAGTTTACACCTGATTCACACATCAGTCAAACCTGTAGCAATTTCATTGGATTTAACTTTTATTCTAGAATTAAATCACTTGTTTTCTTCTGTGTACAACCATACACTTGGTTCTATGTAATAACAATATTTCATAAGTTTATAGTCTAGCCTATTATTTAGTCACAGTAATAAGTAATCTTTAATTTAAAAAGGACATTATACATGTACACATATGAGTGTTTGTTCCTTGCTTTTATAATATATTTAATGTGTTCATCACAAAATGAGTGAAATATCTGTTCATGGCAACCAGAAAATCTGAAATTGCGACCAAAAAAAAAATTTGGGTCACCATTTAGTGACCTGATAGTAAGTGTGACTTGGAGCACTGTGTCACTATGATTCTTAGCATATACCGAGATGTAAATGCAAAACTAAGACACGTGGTCAGTTGCAGAAGAAATTCAGCTGGAAAGCAGTAGGGCTTAGAAGAAGGTTTGTATCTCAGAAGGAAGGTGAATGGCCCCAGATCAATTGGTGAATTTTCATTAGGACATGCATTGATCTACAGAATACTGGGTGTTTTATCCCCCTTGCTCAGGACTGGGATGGGCTGTATGGGTGCAACCAGGGTTCGACACTAACGGTAGCTCACCAGCCCGAGACAACTGAAAATTGAGGTCGGGCTACTAAACAAGTCATCAAGCTTGTCCTGCAGTAGGGCTGTCAGGGTTCCCTGAAATAACCAAAAACCACAGACCAAGCTGTTCGGTTTCAGTTCTACTTTTCCGGATTTTGGTTCGGGTCTGGTTTTTATATTAGAATATGTATAATACAAAGAAATGGTGTCAAAATCAAAAGAATGATGGCGATAATGGTGAAAAATAAACATCACAACTGAATTATACTTCATTCCATATGACAAAACACTTGTCCTGAAAGGATTACATAATTATCAAACCAAGCAAGAATGGTCAGATTGTAGCTTATAGTCAACCTAGTAGTCCTAAACACCAATGTCAAGACGTTAACATGGATAGGATTTGTTTTCAACGTGAAGGTAACTTAACAAATAAAAGATTTTTTATGTTAAATTCATGAAATTAAGGTTTAAAATAGAGGTAAATAACCAAACCAAAAAACCTGAAACTAAACGGAAAATTTACAAAACCGACCCGACCCAAAAAATTTTGGAAGCGCGACAGCCCTATCCTGCAGGGCTACTGATTCAGAAAATTTAGATATAATTATACACTCAAATAATATAATTTTTAAGATTAATTAAAAAAATTTGAATTTTTTACCGAGGTTTAAGGAATAACTTTTGAATTGTTGTTGTCAGATCAGGGGAAGTGTCAATTTTTCTATTACATGACACTGTTTTGGCCTAACCTATTAAAAATCATCACCTAAGTGTTTGAAACTATGATGTAAAACAGGGAATAGAAGCAATGCATTGACCCAGTGACGTAGATGATGAATTTAACCTTGAAAAACCTGTAGTTTACAATATATCATTCAGAAAAAATATCTTTACTTACATTTATAAAATGACATAATTTTGCCCTAAATTGCCCCCAAAATGCAGGATATGGCTACTTTATTTTCGACATTTCTGGGGAGACCCCCTGTACCCCCACCAGGAGGAGAGGAAACATCCTCCCGCACCTACCCACCTCCTCACTTCGCAATATGGCCAGCAGCATTTGGCTGCTGGACAACTAATTCATAAACAGGGCTAGTAACAATTAACCAGAAGTCTCTGTCAAGACTAGCTCTACTGGTTTGGACTTATAACAATAAAGGAAGAGAAAAGTAGCACTTGGACTTGAAACTTTGCAACTGCAATAAATAAATAGTAATCCTTGTTTTGCTCTCTTTTTGTGGCAAGATGAAATCAGACTAAAACTGTAGAAGGAGTAGCCTTTTAAAAGAATTTTAGAGAAATTTCGATTTTAGTTACCATGGCAACATTATTCATCAAAATCAAAAAACAATTAAGACAATTATGTATCTCAGTGTAGTCTACTTGCATGCCATGTTATATTAAAATCAGATGAAACTGTAGACAAAGTAATACTTTGAAAGTATTTCAAAGAAATTCAATTTTTTTGTAACCATGGCAACACTTCACCAAAATCAAAAAAATTATATATAGAATTACCGTATATACTCGCCTATAAGTCAGTCCGCCTATAAGTCGGTTGTATATTTTGAGGTTATTTAGGAGGATTTGCCATTGGCCCGCTTTTAAGTCTATACAACTTTTTGCCAGAATCGGTTGACAATTTCAAATCAACGCTCCGATGTTTTAACCTGGTTTTATTTAATATTTTTAGAAATGACCCCGATATTTGATTTTAAATCTTAAATCATTAAGGAAAATACATAATGCACACTTAAGATAAAAATAAAGTTAGTATAATATGTAAATACTTGTACTTCATGTATGATTTTAGAATACATAAATGATATAATATATCCAGACTTTGTTCAACGATAATCATGAGAAATGTTTATAAAATAGTACATTTCGTCCTCCAGAAAAGTACTAATCTTTTTATGACTCGCCTATAAGTCGGACATAGAGTTTTGGGCCAAAATTTAACTCCCAAAAAACCGACTTATAGGCAAGTACATACGGTATGAATCTCAGTGTAATCTGCTTGTGTGCAAAGTTATATTGAAATCAGGCCAAAACTGTAGGAGGAGTAGCATTTTGAATGTATTTCACAGAAATTTCTATTTTTAGAAACCATGGTAACACCGTTCACCGAAATTAAAAACTGATATACAGAATTATGTATCTTAGTTTAGTCTACTTGTGTGCCAAGTTATACTGAAATCAGACCAAAACTGTAAGAGGAGTAGCATTTTAAATGTATTTCACAGAAATTTCTATTTTTTAGAAACCATGGCAACACTGTTCACCGAAATTAAAAACCGATATACAGAATAATGTATCTTAGTGTAGTTTACATGTGTGCGAAGTTATATTGAAATCAGACCAAAACTGTAGGAAGAGTAGCATTTTGAAAGTATTTCACAGAAATTTCTATTTTTAGTAACCATGGCAACACCATTCATCGAAATTAAAAACAGATAAAGAGAATTATGTATCTTAGTGTAGTCTACTTGTGTGCCAAGTTATATTGAAATCAGACCAAAACTGTAGGAGGAGTAGCATTTTAAATGTATTTCACAGAAATTTCTATTTTTAGTAACCATGGCAACATCATTCACCGAAAGCAAAAACAGATAAAAAGAATTATCTATCTTAGTGTAGTCTACTTTTGTGCCAAGTTTTATTGAAATCCGACCAAAACTGTAGGAGGAGTAGTGTTTTCAAAAATTGTCTACAGAAGGACAGACAGACAAACAGACAGACGGACGGACACCTTACTATTGCATAAGCTCTTCTGGTCTCTGACCATTAGAGCTAAAAATTGCTAGCCCTGCCGGATACTATGGTTCAAAAGTTAGTGTCGAACCCTGGCGACTGAGGCCCAAATCTTGGGAAAACAAGCCAAAATCTAGGGAAGCCCTCAAGTGCAATTTCGGAAAATGTGCACTCTAATATGCAGATTACATGTTATATGTTGACAGATTTTTTGAGCTATGGGTATATGAAGTGCAATTAATTAGCCCCCAAGAAATTGTCCTCATGTATGATCTGTTTTTTGTTGACCTCATGTAAATACCTACCCCCTTGGCACATGCTTCATTGGCATTAAAAAAAAACCATCCTCTGCCACCTTAGCACAGTCTACTTGTGTACCAAGTCATATATATACTTCATATCGCAATTACTTAACTTATTGGAACTCTTTTGTGGTGAAGGTAGGAAACGTCAATTAGCTGGGGGCAATGAGCTATTGAATGCACTACGAGATTAATCACTTTAGATCTTTAAGGGGCATATAAGAAAAAAGTCCTGATGAATTACCTTGCTTAATGTTTCGTGCACCACACTGATAAAATTTAGGGCGTTCTCTTGAATTACATTTTTGTAGATATTTTCAGCTAAGTTGACTCTTCTTTTAATAAATTTAATCATTTCTCTCTGATAAACGTTACTTTTGGAAGCTTAAACATTCCGAATAAAATGACTTACTTCCTGAAGTGCAGCCTTTGGCCATTCATTTTACTTTTAGCCTACTCATTGTTCGAATATGTCATGCCCCGAAAATGATGTGAGATTTGGAACTTGCTCGACTTTATCGCAAAAGTGTGGCAGTAACTTAGATAACCACGAGGTAATCACAATACTAAGTACAGAAATCAGACCAAGTCTACAAGGGAAGTAGCACTTTGAAAGAATTTCATAGAAATTTCTAATTTTAGTACCCATGGCAATCCCGGTTTTCAAAATCAAAAACCAACATACAGAATTATGTATCTTAGGATAGTCTACTAGTGTACCAATAAGGAGTTTTATTGAAATCATTAAAAACTGTATGAGATGTATCGTTTTGATAAATTTTCACAGAAGTTTCTATTTTAGTAACCATGGTAACCCAATTCATAAAAATCAAAAAACAATAAACTTAATTATGTATCATAGTGTAGTCTACTAGTGTACTAAGTCTTATTAAAATTGGGACCAAAACTGTAGGAAGACTATTGTTTTGAAAATTGTTAAAGAAAGACAACTAGACAAACTGACACCTTACTAATGCATAAGCTCTTCTTACTAGTCTCTGACCAATAAAGCTAAAAATAATGTGCATATATTTTTTTTTTTTAAAATGCACCAAAAGACTTCATATGTCTAAAATCGTTTTACAACATGCTTTTACTAAAATTGCATCCACTAGCTCCCAGGTTCTTTTTTTTAGATCTTAAAATCAAGGGCCTGGACCTTTCCATTTGGGAAAAATAGCGACATTTGGTTGAAGTTGGGAAAAACATTATACTTAACATTTTTCTAAATAAATTCAAATAAGGGTTTTTTTTTTTCTTTTTCATTTGCCTTGGTATTTATTGACTTATTTACATTTCAGTCAATCAGTTTTTGGAGCATGTCTTTTAGATTTTTTTAGGGGGGGGGGGACACCATTCCTTATATAAATGTTACTGAGTTGGGACATTTTTTAACCATATTTATTTGTTTGATTGTCTTTTGGGAATTTTCTGTTATGAAATTGGGAAAAACACATACTTTTTACCATTTGAAAATGGAGCAGAATGCAGGCCCGCTACAACACCAAAAAAAAAAAAACAAACTGACTCCTCTCTTTTCTTAATTTAAGAAATCAAGAATTTATGTTAGCAAGTTGAAAGAAAAAGCCAACATCTGCAGCATACACCTGAAATTATTTCCTTTTTCGATGAATGGAGAGACAATGCTTGTGACACATAAACTAGCACATATAACAGAGTCTTGAGAAGGGATTCCTATACTGGTCTGGAGGAGGACAGGTCCTTTATTTGTTAGACTTCCTAGTTGCCCTCATTAATAATCTATCTAAAGGAATATCTTGTAAATTATACATATTCTATAAATAGCTACCAGGATACTTTAGATTACTTTGAGTACGCATTGTTATTGTACACATGAAAATAATGTTCAATCAAGTTTCTGTCAAGCTTCCTCTGTTGTATACTCTTACCTATTTCTGACGTCCTACATTTTTATCTAACAATAAAATATCTTTAACATATTTGATCTTTACTGTTCTCTGTATAGGCCTCAATTAGCATGATTAGTTTATATACTTTGTAAGCAAGGATTTGTCTTTCCCCTGTATCTGCCTGCTGCTTACCAAATTGTAAATGAATCAAAATAGCTCCATAAAGGAATTTCAAAACTGCCCAGAACACAGGTTATGAGGACTAGTAACATGAGTAAGTTCAAATCAGTCAAATCTATAAGCTATGTAAAATGTAAATAATATTCAAGTCACCATGCAAGCCCATATTTTTTCAAAATTTTCATCAAGATTGAGTTTGAGGTTTTTGTTTTGTTTTGGTTTTTTTTTTTTTTTTGCATCAGGATTGAGAAGTGTTTTAGTTTTTTTTAATTTGAATTCAAAATAAAATTGGACCTGATGTATAGCATTTTTTTTAGGACTTTCACATGTGTAATCAACATCAGCATGGTCATTATTTTAAAATTGTTTCTAGACAACTTAAATAGACATTTTCTCTTTTACTAAATGACCTTTGTTTCAAAGGCTAACAAAGAAACAGTTAAAAATGAAACTAATAATAATTTTTATTCATGCTTATTCATCCCTAATCTACACTCTCTGAATACTCTTCTCAGATGCACATATGGCTTACAGTTTTTAAATTTATATGAGGGTATTGATCTGCCTTCATGTCAAACATGGAATGTGAAGGTTATGTGAGATAGAAATCTGCTTGACATTTGATCAATACTTCCAGCATATTGCTAAATCTAATGTGATTATCTGTACTTTTAAATTACAGATATTTTGTAGAATAAAAGGTAAAATGTAAATCATCTGATCATAATATCAAGTCATAAAATCATGAAATATGAAATATATAAAAGAACATATAAGCTAATATTTTATTTTCTTATGATGTGAAGATATGGCCAATATGTTTGCGCTTATAATACTCTCTCCCTCCACTTGGTCTAACCAAGAAAAAATCGTTGACAGCGAGCAATGAGGCTTCATTCGAGATGTTTACATTAGCTGCTTATTTTGTCAGTACACCAGCGCTATAGTGTATTGATCGTTAGCATCGAGAAACGTTTCAGCGTATCGCATCCACCGGTCAACTACAGAGACCTTGCCTACCCTGCAATAATATCCACATGTCCATTTTTTCTCTTCGACATAAAAATCTGACCGTTTGATTACGATATTCTACCTAAATTGCACTATTTGTTTTGTTTTGACGGTATATTTTGCACCTGCAACCGAAAAGGCTCATCCGCCGTCATAATAAATTAATGCAGCCGTTATTTCTTACCTTCGCAAACATATCCCTGGCCTATTAGGCCCCAGAGCATTAGGGTGCAGTGGTGGCAATACGTGGGCTTGTGAAATGTCTTTTTAATGAACGAATGGCCATGACCCTGCTCATTTTCAATCATATAGCCGGACGACTTGTCTTCCTCCACAACACCACCATCGACTGTATTCTCCATTGAAAGACACACTCTTCGTCTACTTAATCGAATACATGGCATTTATACTTCGCTAATTGAAACCGTGAACTTGGAAGGGATACGCCGTCCAACATACGACTTGCCAACGTGCACATAGTTAACGTGACAGCCTGAAAGTTGTCACACCATTGAAATTTTTCGTGAAATATTCCACCATTTCTAGAGAACAGGCAAATCACGGAAATGAGGATGAATATCCAAATCGAGGCTCGATAAAATATTCCGCGAAGCACGGCTCTCATTGCTGCTGAGGCTGGAACATCATTGATTTTTTTCGAAGGACTTTATTTTGATTATATTATATCACAAACTTAAACTGTAGTTTTTGTGAAAGGTTCGTTGAAACAAACACTGTGTTTTATCACAAAGAAGATCCAAATATTATAAATATTTCAATTACCAAAAGAGTTCTTTTTGTCTGGGTCACCTTTTGTTCCATGAATATATTATTATAATCTATTTAAATTAAGGATTTATACCGCTGTAAATAGTCGGCTGCAATATTTTTATAATTAAAGCAAATTCAATTATAGATGTATCTTTCATATTAAAAAAAGGAATTTATCGTACTGCTTTTATGAAACGCGAATACTGTTAAATGCATTACCATACTGTACTAAATAGCATTGAGTATAACTATTATAGTATATTACTGCTAAAGATTTTAATAAAATCGGAGCCTAGGTGCACTAAATCAAAATTTCGCCTTGTTTATCTAGTTATAAAATCTGAACTTTTGATGTAACACTTTGCTCAACAACACCCTTATTTGTAAATTGAATCTCTGTGTCATCCCCCCCCCCCCCCCCCCCCGCTTTAACTTATATAATGTTTTTTGATGATGAGGTTAGGGCCGTGCGAAAAAGAGCAACCGGAACAATTTGGACAATGTAGCAGCTGGGCCGTTCAAATAGTCAGCTGCATGTAATTAACTTATAATTCAGAGGCGGATCCAGCAATTTTTGAAAGGGGTTCCAGGGTGGTGCCCCCCCCCCCACACACACAGTCACTCAAACATGGATTCACACACAAACACACTCACACAGAGAGATCTTAGGTCGTGGTTTGTTTCTTTGAAAAGGTAACCCCCTCCCAGTCCGAATAAAAAACAAAGACATTCTTTAAACTACTGTAGCCTTAAAATTGAATGGATTTGCAGGGTTTCTGAAGAAAACAAAGATTTTCTTTTAGAATTTGAAAAACTTTTTGGGTAGGTTTTTGAAAACCTATGTAAAACAAAGAATTACATGTAATTTACTGTGGCCTTATGCATATTCCCTTTTATGACTTATTTAAGTTTGTTCCTTCAAAAGACGACCCGAAAACGGTACACATATAGCCAAAGATCGTCGGAATCTGATATCAAATTAAACCCCGCATGTTACTTATATATTAAAATAAGTAGATTATTTTCTACCATTCTCTCATAAATAAAAACGCTGAAAGGGAGGAATAGTGAAGGTAAATATCTGGGACTCTATCAATATTGCAAGTGAAATATGAGCAACCGATCGAGCTGTTTTGAACTACGCTTACAAGTTAGTTCTAAGTACAAATATCAATTCCAGAAAACATTTATCCTCCTTCTCTCTCGCTTTCTCCATTCGGCAAAAAATAAAGGGGGGGGGTTCCAACCCCCGGACCCTCCCCCCCTCTGGATCCGCCAATGTAATTAAAGTTGAACGTGCACAGTGCATGGCCGCGTGTTTATGCTACTCGAATGTGCATTAACTTATCTGAAATTGATTGATTTCAATCTATGAAATACATAGTCTAAACAAAGCTCTTCATGTTGAATATCAATAGATTTTCAATCAAATAATGATATTTATGAAAATGCCTAAGAATGCGTCGCAAAAAGAAACAAGAAACGCAATTTCTAATAATTATATTTGACTATAGTCACGCATATAAAAGAAAAAGTTTACAAGGTAGATAGGAAAGTGAGAGATAAGGTCGGGTGGGTTTATTATCTATATGAAAATATCTATATGAAAAGTAAAATCTTGTTATACACTTTCAGAGTCCTTACTTTCTATAATTTCATCTATTTCAATTGAAATTATAACTCATCAAAAGTCAAAAGCAATCATCATTTATACGGAAGCCTATTAGTGCCACGTAATATTTTTTTAAGTTGGTAATTCCAACTTTAAAGTTTGGCTTTTCCAACTTCAAAGTTGGTAATTCCAACTTTAATCTTGGATTTTCCAACTTTAAAAGTTGGTTTTTCAAACTTTAAAGTTGGTAATTCAAACTTTAAAATTGGCTTTTCCAACATTAAGTTGGTAATTCCAACTTTAACCTTGGCTTTTCCAACTTTAAAGTTGGTAATTCCAACTTAATTTAATCTTGGCTTTTCCATCTTTGTACGGCTTTATCCGTTATATTCAGATACTTTGTAGCTGGACTGGCATTGCCGTTTATACATGTATAATTACAATGGAAAGAAACGATTTAATTACGAAATTATGATGAAAGAAGGAATTATTTCATTGTGTTTTCATATAAAGAATTGATTCATTTAGTTCTGTTGTATTTATAGCATGTAATTTAGTGTTGATTCATCCTATATATATCAAACACCTAATAATGGTCTCATTTGTTTAAGCTTATTCTCTCATACAAAAACAAAATATATGTCTGATCTCTTAAATAGGTTTGGTTGAAATCCTGTCATGTACAGAGTTGTATGAAGTTATTCTCTATTTAATTACTAGTATATAAAATGGACCGAAAGGAATATGAGGGTTTTTAATTAAAAGTTGGAAGTTATACGTAAGGTCATAGGGAAGGTCAAGGTAAAAAATAATTGACAGACTAATTGCTCACCAGTCTATTTGAGTTATTAATTTTGCTTTAATAAAGTTGGTAATAATTTAAAATAAAGGAAAACAGCTAAGAAAAAGGGCTAGAAGAGCTCAAATTAAAGTTGGAAAAGCCAAGATTAAAGATGGAATTACCAACCTCAAAGTTGAAAAAGCCAACTTTAAAAAAAAAAAATAAATAACGTGGCACTAATACGCTTCCGTACATTTAGGATGTAAACAATTGTGCAGTTATATTGACGTAAAGCTTAAATCACACGGGAGTCTGATTTTACTGTATGACAACCCCCTACCCAACCCCCAACCCCCAACCCCGGAGAAAAGAAATTGGCAGTGATATCGCAGTTATGAACGTGTTTCCTTCATCAAAAATGAGGAGCGCATAACATTTCATAGGCACTTGGGGTATTGGAACCCTCCCTTTTCTTTTTAATCTGGGATCGACACACTTTTTCTTCTTCGACAGAGTATTTTACATTGTAATATGCATTGCATGTTATCGAAAATGTAACCTTTTTGTCTCTACGAGTTGTTTTTAAATATATCTTTTTCGACTGATGCATAACTTGAAAACTAGAATGATACATTGTGCGAATCAAAAACAAAAAGGCAGGGAGGCTAGATAGCATAATCTTCACCAGCGAAGGATTTCCAATCCACTCCTCTTTTCTCCAGGAGAGAGAGAGACGGATAGTTGGAGAGAAAAGGAACGGACTGCTTACCATTAAGATGCTATAAATAGCTCTGGGACGTTAGAATTAATCTTATCAAAAGATCCTTTGATACACTCACATAGATCGCTTGGTACTCCTCAATAGAAAAATTACTAAAAATTCTTGATATCCCAAACATAATGTCCTATACTAAGAGTAATTTTATGAATTCATTAAAACAATCCATGAATAAAAAATACTCACTTGATTGGCAACACTCAAATGAAACACTAAAAGAGGGCAAACTTGTCACTTATTTATTTCTGAAGAACAATTTTAGATTGGAAAAATATCTAATTCTATTAAAACCTGAATACAGAAAACCAATATGTAGATTACGTGTATCAGCGCACAGACTTTTCATAGAATTAGGCAGATATAATAACACACCCAGATCAGAAAGAATGTAAAAATTGTACGCTTAATCAAATTGAAGATGAAGAACATTTCCTTATAGCAAATTCACAAAGAAGAGAGAAGACCTATTTAACCTGATCTCATCTAAAGTAAATCATTTTACAGAATTGCCTGATAAACAAAAATTATTCTGGATTCTAAATTGCGAAGAACTAGATATACTAAACTCTCTTGGAAGATTTTTACAAAAAACATTACCATAAATTTTAGGAATGTAACTTTTTTTTTTAATTATTATTAATATTAATTATGTAAAAGTATGATACTTTCAAGTATATGGTTTAGTAATGTATGCATATATATATGATGTACTGTATATATACCTATAAAACAAGTCTTATGTTCATATAAAATGTTTTGGGTATTCCCCAACTTGTATGTCTTTTCTATCAATCAAGTAATTCTTTCCCTCTTATGTATATGTATATTGTATTTCGTGTGTATGATCATAATCATTATATACATTTTAACAATGTACTTTCTTTTTGCCCCATGAGGGCCCTTAATTGGTCAATAAACGAATTGAATATACCACAGTGTAAAATTCACCGTTTCAGAAAAAGAATAGTTATCAAAGTTAGCGCAGATCATAGTTTCGTCGAGAAAATATATAAATGTCTACTTGGTAGACCTCATTTTTACCCTACAAAATCTCTAGAATCCAGGAGCTTCCGGGGACTTTGCCCCCCTGCACCCCCCCCCGGGCTTCGCCCTGGACCCACTGCCTACTTTTTGCGCCCCCTCTCACTTAAATTCCTGGATCCGCGCCTGGTTATTACAAAAAGACAGAGTGGTATGTCAAAAGAACCGTTTTCCTGTTATAACAACATTGTGTTCATAATTCATGATTCATAAAAGAGTCATCAAGTATATTTAATAAACTCGATATTTGTGAACCTTTCGCTCTTACTTAATGTCAACACCTGTCATTTATTTACTCTTATAAATAGTCGTGTATAATTTCAATCTTTAGTCTGGAATATACAAAGGCCAATCTCCGACACGTCCGACTCACCAGGACTCTGAGTCCAGAGACCATTTCGGTCAGATCCGATATGATCACGGTTAATATGTCTGTCTGTTGTTTCGTGTAAATTGTTGCCATCGTTGAAATTCGTTTAATAAATACGAAATCCTTAGTTTTTTTTAATCCCTGGAATTGCATATTGGTTGACCTTCGGGAATACGGCACACCTATCCTTTGTTTTACCTTACGGCCACACAGCACCC